CCCTCGCCTTTTTGCGAGGCGTCGCGTCTCGATCCCCGCAGCGACGTCGATCGCAAAGGCGAGAGGGTGGCAAGAAATTCGAAGGAGCCAGGATCGAGCGCCGCTAATTTCAATTCGGATATGGATAAGAAGACGTCTTCATCGTTATTTTATCCTTCCTTCCGAGTTTACCGATTTATTCCGAGAGCTGAACCAATGAATCGGACAAATCCGAGCCCCGTTCACGATGGATTTATACGGGAAGTTTTTGGTATGCATTATTCATCGATCGATGCGTTATGACCGGTTCGAAGGGAGGAAGGAGCGAAATTGGCCGCGACGTGAACCGATCGATGGAACGAATACGCGTCGGTGGTATACCCATTAGGAGGGGAAAGAAACAAAATTTATCTTACGAATCGAATATTGCCGAGAGAATAAGGAAAAAAGTGGCGGTCGTAATCCTCGCCGATTTCTTTCTTTCTTCCTTTTTTCTTTTCTCCCTCCCAATATATATCGTATATCAAACGGAAAGAATAGTCGTGTAAAATTTAAAAGAAAACGGATTGGAGAGATTTTAATTTCGAATTCGCGGTCATTTAAGCGTAGCGTTAATTACGTAATTGTATTTTCTTTTTAGAAGCGCTAGTGCGTGCGGCTGTATAGTAGCGAGTATACTTTAAACGCGTTCATAAATCACGAGCCCCTTGAGCGAAACGCGCTCCATTTTACACTCCATTCCCATGCATATTCATGAATTATTTGTCCATTATACCGCGGCCAACGGGGGTAAACGTTGATACTCCATTATCGTTCGCGATTTACGCGCCGATTCATTACAATTTTAAACCGCTTAAAGCCCCGTCGATGGAGTGACTAATCGTAAAAAAGAAAAAAGAATAAAGTTCCGCGAATCACGAAGAGAGCTGGCGTATAACCACCGATGATAAACAAAATTTCTCCTTTCAACGGGTTGGAGAGTCATCGAGTCACCGATCACCAACGATCATCATCGGCCAAATCGTTGCTCGCAACGACATGCACAGGTTATTCAACTCGAGGAGGCTCTCGCTAAAAAGAAGGCGCGTCGAACCGATCAATCTTGGCCCGGCTCGACACCCGGTGAAACTCGTTTCGCCGCCGAATTCGGTCGATTGTCTCTCTGCCCAACCGATCTTCCCGAGTAACCGTTCAACGATAATTCAAGGTATCGGGGAATTCGATGCACACCCGACGCGCCAATTTGCCCGGCCCATCGGCGAAACGATGTCGATTCCACGAATCCTTGGTGGTATTTTAATCGAGATTCAAAAGCCTCCGTAACGGAGGCGAAATTTAAGGGCGTTCTTAAATAAATCTTTGTCGCGCCTGTAAACCCTCGTAAACCGGCCCCCCTCGAATAAACAAAGTTGCGGACCCTGCTTTCCGTGTCAACTCTCGTTCCGTATAAATAAACTTTATAACCGGAGAGGTGAAATTTTTACACGCGTCGAGAATATATTCGCTGGCTACCGCGTCCAGAAAACTGGGCGCGGGATTCGCAGTTTCAGGCTTAAAACGGCATCACCGATGGTATCACTCATGCATCCACGCTCGGGGGGAGAGGCCGTATTTCATAGGGGAACGAAGGCTGGCCCGCAGCTCGCCCGTTTAAACTGGCATAAATCTGCTTCCACTCGCGATACAATCCCCCTCGAAAGAAAGGAAATCCTCTCGCACGATTTTCCAATTTCCACGAGATCGATTCGCAATTTTTTAATTGTGATCCTCCGATCGAGAGGATAGCTGGTTGAAAATTTCAAGGAGATCGGGTGGTATTTCGCGACAATTAATAATGGAAGAATGGAGGAACGCAGGCGGCCGTTTATTCGCGCGATAATCCCATCCTCGCGGCATCCTCGAAATCATCCGCGGTGTGTACGTACGAGGAGAGGAGAGGAGAGGAGGGCTATCGAATGGATCATTGTTTCGAAGCCGTATCCGTTGGAAAGGGCGAAGGAGGAAACTGGAAAGTACATTTGTCGTGAAGTATTGCCGCTGCGAGCTCGCGGCAGTTCCTCCGCAGGAGGGCCGCCGACATGCGGGTACCGATGTAGAAACGGTGCGTGTACACGTGCGTAGCCGTTCCGTCTCGCGTGTGGAAGTCGCGGAACGTGTGCACGGCAACATCGGGACGGAAACGGACAACCGAGCCGGCCAAGATTTACGAGGAACGCGAAGTATAACTATCGGTTAACGGCATTGGGACACGAGAAGACAGGCCTCGATCCTCCTCGATCGGATACGTGGTGACGATTTCACGGTACGAGTGATCTACGGACACGATCCACCACGGGCCTTGTACCATTATTAGGAATCGATCCGCCAAAAAAGGGGGAATAACAACAACAACGAGTTTATAGTTCACGTCGAATTTGGATTTATTAGGTCGTTAACGAAAGTCTGAATCGTTTCTAGATGGTAAACAGTTTCCATAATCGAAACGGTCGAACGAGCGACACGAGCGACATCGATTTAATCGTCGTTGGAGGACCGTTGAGAATTGTCGAGAAAATCTCTGATAAAGTCATTGGCACCGAGATCCGGAGGAGGATGGATCCAAAGATGGAAGGATGAAACCGTTATGTCATCGTCTGTCATCGTCTGCCATCGGCGAGACGAGGCAAGGAATTATTCGAAAGACTAGATCTTCGCGGATTCGATGAGGCGCGGTGTAACACACATACACACACACATACACGTTGAAAAGAAATCGTGACGCGTCGTATGAAATGAGGTTTGTTAGCGTGCACCCGGGTGTCACGAGATTACAATGTTTTCTAACGTCGGCCGCCTTTCCGCCGAGATCGTACCCGCTCCACAATGGAAAACACACTCGCGCAAAGAGCAAATTAAACGAGATTTACAACGGGTACACGATCTCGTCCTATTAACCCTGGACCGTGGTGGTTGTACGTTCGATGAAATATGACGCCATATCCCGCGATATCCCGCTGTTTTTCGACTTTCGATTTCGTAAACCGATAATAAAGTCACTCCTCGTGCGACGTGTCCAGGATGATGCAAATCCTTCGCCGACTCGATGATGCGATTATTAAAAGAAAAAGGAAAAGATAAAATTTCGAACAAATATTTTTCTCTTTCAAGAATTCAAGATCCTCGCCAATTTTTACAAACTTCTGACCGAACGGAGTAACGGAGCTCATCCTGTTCCCTCCGAACGGAGAGGAATCCTAACGTATAGGACGTACGTGACGTGGAAGGAAGGTGTGTGCGGCTGGTCCGTTGCTACACATCTGTCAAGAGCGTGGAAAAGAAAAAAAAAAAGGAAAGAAGCGGGGCGATACGATCGGTAAAAGTACTTACAGGGACGTTTCCTTTATCCTCTGCAACGCGAGGAGGGCCGCCGAGGGGGAGACGAAGACGGGATCGAGCGGTTCCATCATGCGGACCGACACGTCCCGCTCTCTATCCCTTTGCCTCTCCCTATCGCGATCCCGCTCCTTCTCCCGATCCCTCGTCTCCCTCTCCCTTATCCCCGATTCTCTGTCTAGCTGCCTGTCCCTGTGCTCGTTCTCCGTGCTCCTCTCTCGCACCCTCTCGCGTTCACGTTCCCGGTTTCTATCCCACGCCGTTTCGACCACAGGCGGCAAAGGCGGCGACACTGGAAACAAAAAATCGATGGAATATTAATTGAGCCGATTGTGTTACGTCTCCTTCGATTCATGCGCGCGGAGATTTCGCGGAATCGTGGATTATCTATCTACGCGTGACGCTCTATGGTGGGGATCAGATCGTGTGTCGAATGGATCGAAAGCGTTATTCATGCCAATTTTACCGATATATTATTTAAACTCGTCCCCCTAAATTTCTCGTTAATAGTAGCTCCATTAATAGTAGCAAGGTACGTTTCTTGGGTTTCAAAGAGATCGAGCTCTGAAAATTCGATCCTTTCGAAAATATGTTCCGTAAAAAGCTGCGTTAGTTAGTTACGCGCAATTATCCTTGGATCGATTAAATCTTTTTCACAATGTGTATATGTATATATATCGTTGAAGTGTAAACGTTTCTTAAAGAAAAAAGATATATATATATATATATTTGTTAAATTAATCGGACGATTTTGCAACTTTATTACGAAAGAAAATAATATCTACATGTTCGATTGCTCGTAAAAATGTATCGTTGTTAAAAAATTGTGTCGATACGCGATTCCTATTGGCTACAGAGTATATGTATTTTTCTACGATCCTCGACCCCGTGACAGCACGATTGCTACGTTGCGCATCATTGCAGCGACCCATGGCCGACAAGCACGTTAAACGTTCGTGGCATTACTAATTAATACGCGGTGGCAATGGTCAATAGATTGGCGATCGATCGTGGCTATAAACGGACGTGGAACGCGGAGTGTAACATCAGGACGGTTGTTTAACTTTTGACCGGTGTCTCGCCGCTATCTCCGCGCCTTTTCGTTCGAACGTCGCCGTCCCGATAATCGGTTCGTAACCGATATAAAATTATGATTTCCAAGGTTCACCTTGTTACTTGGTGGTAATGGCTCGTTTTACGATAAACGATCGTAATTAGCGTAACGCGAGTAATATCGTTATTCGTTCAGGGGAGGAAAAGGATTTTCTTCCGCGCGGAGGCGTTTTATAATTCAATCAGACTTTCTCTTCCTTCTTTGGAATTCTTCTCTTCCTTAATTACGACTTTTTTTTCCCCTCCCCTCGTGTCGCGCCGATGTCCGTATCTTATCTACTTTCATCGATGGACAGATTTTACGTCCTCGAATCGTTGTTCCTTCCTTCCCTCCGTGAAAACTTGGCCTGGCGAATTCGATAAATTCGCATCGGTCACGAGACTCGTGTACGCAATTCGAGGGAGACACGAATGTATTATTCGGGAAACCGGTTCCACGGCGATTGATTGAAGAAAAAACGGAGGAGGGCATTCGCAGAGGCAAGAATCTGCTCTCCTACTCGACTCCTTTGTAAACGCTGCGCTCCTAAGATTTTATGATTGAAAATGATAATTAAATAAGAAACAAATAGGCGAGAAAAAGAACAAGTTCTTACGATTTTCAAAATAATTAAAAAAAAATAAAGGAATCTTTCCCAAAGATCATAGAGATGATCGATCGATTTCGGAGTGGACAACGTCGATGCGGCTGAACAAGGAATATTGCGTAACGCACGCACGCGAGCGAGTATCCCTCGGTTGTTGGTCGTGAATCAACGAGCTGGAGATTTATGCAAACGGCCGTTTATGCTCCACCAGGCGCGCGCCATCCGACAGAAACGCGCTCGAACGCCGAAGATGCACGACTGGAAAACGAGCATCGTGGTGCTCCCTCCCTCCCCGTGTTTCGTGGATTTGATGGATCGTCGGGGAGATTGATTTTTAATTGAATCGAACCCTCGTATTTCACCGAGCCGACCTTTTTCAATTCGTGGCGTCGTAAATAGCCACGATTGACACGGCACGCACGCCCCGCTCCTCTCTCCAACCTCGTTCCGCGCTTCTTTCCTCTCTCCTTTTCCCTTTATCGAACGAGTTCCGCGCCACCAAATTCCCGTAATAACAAGAGGGAATTAATCACTGTAATCGCGTCACGCTAGTCGAGCCGCGACACGCTCCTTTCCGTTCGGGGAGCGCGCATACAACGACGCGTCTCGACGCGTTTCCAGGAACCGCGTTTCGCTCCCTCAGCCGTGGAAAATTTCAATATAAAATCCCACAGATACGGATCTCGTGGCCCTCGTCGCTGGGTCTGTTATCTGAGAGAGAGATCTCGCGGGGATTCCGCGAGCCGATCCTCCAATCGTATCGGAGGAATCGTTACCCGGTCTTGGGACACGTACTACTCGCGCGCGAGTAACAGAGCGCGCTATTATTAACCGTAATTTCCCTACCTCTCTACCTGTTTCGCTTAATTAGCCTTTGCTTTCCGGTGATATCTCTCCTTTCCTCTCCATCCCCCGTTTCGTTCCTACCCTAGCCCAGCAGGCCGTTAACTTTCCCCTAATACGATCGAAAAGTTTACGTTTTATTTTCTTTCTATTATTACATTCTTCTCCGTTATCTATCACGAGGAGTTTCGTTCCTTAATTTAATTTGTTTCCTCCTCTTCGCCTTCATCGTCGCCTCGCCCACGCGAGGTCAACCCCGAGTATATCCGAGTGTATTCATAATCCGCTGTTTCAACCGCGTTTCACCTTCCTTCTTCCCTCTCTCTCTCTCTCTTTCTCTCTCCCTATCCCCTCTTCTCGCCGACTCCTTTCTCTCGCGCGTACACGCGCAAGCACGCCTCGATGACCCGGCCCCCGGGTGTACATTCGAGGGGGATAATTGATAATGTTAAACGCGGGGTTAATCCGCCGATTTATGAGCAGAGTTTCTACCGTGGATTTTTTTCGAATCTGGCAAATTGAGGGATAATAGGCGGACATTAATAGGCCCGGCTGGCAGCGATCGAACAGCGAAACGGGAGATAAGTGGGAATCGGCGGGTTACGGAGTCGCGCACGATTAATTCACTCGGATCCGGGGAGGTGAATTAATGCGCTCGGCTGGGCTGTTCAACGGACGCCACGCCAAGTTTTGACAAGTTTCCAAGGAAACTTGTACGAAGAAAGCGTACGCGTATTTCAATGCCAGGTGATTCATCTTCTTCCAAAGTGAAATTTCCTCCTTGGAAATTTTACGAGTCGCGCGAGATTATATTTATATTCGTAAGAATAAAAATTCGTTTCCTTCGTCGAGCAAGTGGCGTGAGGTTATCAGGGAAACGAATTGTCAGCAGTTGGCGAGGATTCAAAGCGGATTCGAGGGCACAATGGCCTCTCTGGCCGATCGATAATATTAATTAACGAGAGAGGGGAGGAGAAAAACTGGTCGAAATCGATAACGGTTTGGGTGATGAATCGTGGTTCTCTGGTCCGCGGTAACCTGACGTGCAGCATCATCGATTATCGCGTACATTGTACGATCAGCCGGATCGGCTAACGCGGAGAGAAATATATATATATGTATGCTCGAACACGAAGACGAGTCAGGTGGGTGGACATGCCACCCGCATCGCGGAACTCGTTAGACGCGAGTTTTCAATTAAATTTCCGGTTTCGCGCGGCGAAACAGAGATTAGAGGTACTCTCGTACCGATTAATCGTGGATTAAGATTTCTCCCCTCCTTCCACGTTTATCAATGTATATATGGTATTCGTGACGAAATTAAATTTTCCATAGAAAAATGTTCGCGCTGTGTGGTGCGCTGAAATTCGTAACGCGGGGATTGAGAGGAGGTTCGAGGAAAGTTGGTTGGAAGACGAGATATCACGGGGTTTCGCAGTTCTTATTAAGGAGGGGGAATTTGTTAGAGATTAATACGCTCGAGAATGTGTAATTATTTCTTTACCCTTTGTTGTCCCATGGTGGTTCGTAAATTGGAAGCCTTTATAATTGAACCTCGTAAGCAGAAAAGGGAATGCATAATAATAAAATCGTGCACGCCCGTAACGATCATCTCTTCTCAAACAGAGATGCTTTATAACGTGTCTTTGTCATAATTAACCGCCCCCCCTTGCGCGCGCTAATCGACGAAGGCGTGATTATACCGCGGTAGTGAAAGTAACGCGGAAACGTGTTCATTCGTGCACACGAATCGTCTCGAAAATAAGCGCTTAAATCTTCCCTATACACTTTATTCTTTATTACAGCCACCAGGTAAATAGCACTTGTCGCGAGGTAAGATCCAATTATTCTGTCTCTCCTTTATTTAAATATACCTTTCGTATTCCCGATTTATTATCTCAACTGTTTATCTTTCGCGAAAACCCGCCTGTAATCCAATCACACGATTACAACCCCGCCATTTACGAATTTCGTTGGCAAAAGTAAGGACGAAAGCTCGAAAGCTCGAAATCTCGGGGAGAATCTCGAAAGAGAGAGAGAGATATCCCGTTGTCCGCGTTTCGTGGCGCTCGCGGCTAGCCTCCGATTGTTCCGCCCACGCGTTACTCTCCACCTCCGCCAGCAGAGGTGGAAAAAGCGCGCTGCGATCGTTGATCGAAGAAAGTGTGGTTGGGAGCGCGGAAGTAAGGGCCAAGTTCGTAATTACAGAGGAGCGAAAAAGTTTCGAATCGGGCGCATTACAGGCTCTGTACCTACCTTCCGGGCTGGAGAAAATGAATTATGCGCTTTCGATCGGGCGGACGAAAGTCTCGAGGTTAACGTCTTATTCGAATCGTCGAAGCCACGTCGTTGTTCCCCTGTGATTACCAGCCGGAATCCCGATGGAACCCCGCCGGTGAGAGTTTCGAGTGTATCGAGGCACCGATTTTATGGATCTTGGAACGCGCGAAACTGTGCGAAGAAAGAGACGGGTCGCAACGTCGAATTTCATCATTATCACGCTTTTGCGTTATTATTTCTACGTAACGGGGAATGATTTAAATAATTCTGGGTTTCGGAATCGACGGGGGACTCTCGGTGTTCGAGACGCATTTGCATGTCATTAAGGAGATTCGAGGAGACAGAGATGGAATTTATTTTAATCATCGCCCTCTTTATCATCGTTGGGGAACTCGATAGTTTGGAATTATTATATCGGCTTTATAAATCTGAATTGCGAAACGCGTGACACACTTTTTGACATATCCTC